GGCTGAGGCTATAACTCGTCCATACGCAGTGGGAACCTCGACTTACAAATGCCACTACTTATTAATTTTTCAAAATACAACCCCAATTTTGTCGGAAAATTTGACTCGACTTACGACCTTTGCCTCGACTTGCGACTTTGTTGATACATGTATGGGTCAACAGAGTGCATGGTTCCTGGTGGCATGGGTGACCCCACTTCAGTTTACCAGACTGCACGTTTAATGACGATCACGCTTGAAATTTTTGTAAAGAATTTCATTGTTTTTGTGCTTTTTTTAACATAAAAGTAATTACAGGTATTATATATCATGCCATGGGTCCCAAGAAAGTCAGTGGTAAGGATCAACCTAAGAAAATAGTTGTGAGTAGAGACAGTCCCTTCCTCATTAAGAAAATGTGTGAAGTATGGGAAGAACTTCAATGTTTTCTTGAAAAAAACTCTCCCAGATAAAGCTGTAGCAGGCCATTGCATTGACCTTTTTAATGATAATGTGATGTCTCATTACAGACAAGTGTTAAAATGTAGGGAAAAACAAGTGTCTTTAGACAGATTCTTAGTAAGACAAGCAAGCAGTGAGCTACAACCAGGTTCTAGTGGTATGCGTGCAAAACGTAAGAGAGAGTACCCCAGAGAAGTCATCACTGCCTGATGTTATAATGGAAGGGGACTTCCCTTCCAAACACTAACACCTCTCCTCCTCTCCTCTCCTCTCCTCACCATCTTTCATACGCCAACAAGTCATAGTACAAAATATGCATGTGTGTTATGTATGAAATGTATTTTGAAGTTAATATTTTTAGGAATGTTGAATGGATTAATTCAATTCACATTATTTCTTATGGGAAAATTTGTTTCAAGTTAAGAATTTTCGAGTTACGACCTCTGGGAACGGATTAAATTCGTAAATGGAGAAGCCATTGTATTAGATCACTAGGTTTTATAGGTTTGGTTATTTCAGTATTCAAAAATAGAATTTGCTTTAGGTTGGCAAATGTGCCAACAGCTGGTCATTAGGCTCACTAACACCTGTATGTTGGTTTGTCATCTTTTAGCCCTTAAACTGCAGTTTAATAATGGGTTTATGACCCTTTTAGGTAAAAAAGCATCTCCTGTTGCCTGTCCTACATTACTTTTTGAGCTTGATGCTGTTGTCTCTTGGGTGAGTTACTTTGGACCTTTTAAAGAAGTGGTCTGAATTAATATCTTCCAAAATATTCAGCAGTTTATAGGTCTTGATAAGATCAGCCCTGTCTTTTCTGGTTTGTAAGATTGTTTGTCCTAAGACTCTTAATGTTTCCTGGTATAAGAATTGACTTTGTTCTAGGATTATATATTTTTGCATTGTGCAGAACTTCTTCCAAAACATTTACATTCTTTTGTCCTTTTGAAGGCAAGATCTCTGTCCATGGATACAGTGGTCTAGATGGTTGTTCAACAGAAATTTGTACAGCTTAATAACCACTTTGGTTTTCTTGATGTCAGAGGTTCATTGGATTATTCCTAAGGTTTGGTAGGCTTTTCTGAAGAGTTCACTTGCTAGCTTCCTGTAGCTTGCCATTCTGGTTAGCTCTACACCCCATCAAGTTACACCAGACCACTGTGAGTGAATGAAAGCCTACCAGGGACCAGAGGCCAAAACCTGGCACCCTCCCAAAGGTGCAGAGAGCAGGGAATCTGTGAGTACCCTCACCAAAGAACTAGCCTCCCCAGAAAGGGGGAGCGGAGCAAAACAGATAACAGCATGGCAAATGTTATCAAACAACTCTGCATACTATCCCACCCAGTAGTTAGGTCATTCACCCTCTAGTAGCAGCTGACCACCACCACCACCAGATGACAGCACTGGGAAGCTTTGGACTTCACCAGAGAACACCTTCAGTCAGTTGGTTGGTGTCAGTTTTTACTGATTGCCCCAAGAGTCTCTCCAATCCCTTTGGGTCCTGGATTACTTTCCCAAAAAGTGTTGACTATCCTTTGGACTTTATCCTGTGGGGGGCCCATTTGCTTGCAGATTTTTCTAAACTTTAGTGTTTGCTTCATGAGCATGTGTTTATAAGGCTCACTTGTTGTGTGGATTTAAAGAATATTTCACCTTGAGCTGCATGCATCAAGGGTTGCCTTACTAAGTGCCTGCTAGTATTGCCTCTGGTGGATTCAGGTACTGTATCCATCCCTGAGAAGTTGGCCTCCTGTGGAGGGTGCCTTGCACTGAGTAGTGCAATGGTTATCTAACTTATCTGCAAGTTTATGAGGTTGGGAGGCATTTAGGGTTTCTTTGTTTTGGGATGCACATTATTTTCATTCATTTGTCCATTTATCTGCATTTGGTGTAAGTCTTTTCTCTCTTCATTGTTAATTCAAAAGATAAAGCATGGATTAACTTAACGGTGAGTGATCCCTGTGCCTTGGATGCTTGCTTGGTGTGTACCTTCAGATCCAAGGGAAAAGCCCCGCAGTCTTTGACATGGTCTAGGATGAACCAGTCCTCCAAGCCTACACTTGCTGAATTTGAGTTTCATATTTGTTCCTCAGTTTTGCTACATGGCGATGGTCATTCCTACTACCTCCACCATGCTGCCTGTTGGGTGATTTTATCCCTTCCACCCTGGAGCCTGTGACTTTTCTGATCACTGCATCTCTGTTTTGGCTCTGCTCCCGTCCCATGGTGCAGTATCCTTTGATGATTGATGCTAGGCTGTTTGAACCAATTGTGCATCATTTATTATGTCAGGTTGCAGCCATCCTCTGTTGCCTCTGTGCCACTAATAGTGTGTGGGGACACTGGGGATCCATTGTCCAGGGCTTGTCTCAGGTGGTCCTTAATTTCTTCAAGTTTAGCCAGCCTACAGTCTACCTTCGGGTTCTTAATGCTCGTAAGTTTGCTGCTCTGTCTGATTTTGTTTTAAGTATATACTGTATTTGGAAGATATTCAGGCTCTGGGGTTTTGACAGTCCAACTGAGTACTGGTTGCTCTTGGTGAATATTGATCGTACATGCTGAGCTTGTGTGACTTTGGGATGGTTAACTCATCGCTGATTTTCCCCCTTCCTGGACATTATTTTCTACAATTGTCCTTTGCTCCTGGTGAGTACCCCATTTTGTTTTTCTCAATGGGGACAGAACCAAGGAATCTCTATTATAAGCCCTCCCAGCATTTGTTTTTCTCAATGGTGACAGAACCAAGGAATCTCTATTATAAGCCCCTCCTAGCATTGAAACACCTCTTTATGGTGAGTCTTTGGTGGCTCCTTTGATCTTCCCCTTGCGCATTCTGGGGCTTTGGCTTTTCCATTTTCCCAGCTATGTGACTGATGATTCAAGGTTTGTTGATAAAAAAAGGTGTACAGTCACTGGTGGTGTGCAGGTGATATTTACATTAGAATTGCTTCTCAGCCAAGTGGTTCATGATTATCAGGGTTTCAGTGTTCCAGTTTTTATGCTTTGTTTACCTTTCTGTCGTCTATATTGATTTGTCCACCTTTCTGGTGGCCTTTTTTTGGTTAGAGTGATGTACAATCCCTTGCTCCTTGCACCTCTTGAGAAAGAGGGGGGGGGGGTCGAGATTTTGTCCTTCAGTTTTCAGTAGGCTTATATGTGACTTGCAAGGGCCTGGCATTAGGTGGAGCTTGCCAGGTAGCAAGCACCAAGGAGCCACCAAGGACCCCATCAAAAAGAGTCATTGCATCACATTTAACTCTGGATTTTTCTTGCTGATTATGGTCCACTTTTCATTTACCTTTTCGTTTTCCATGCAAATGATTTTGGAGTTTGACATTTCCTCCTTGAGAATCTATACTTGCTTCTTCACCAAATTTAATTGTGCCTTTAACTCAAGCCAGAGTTTTTCAAGGTATTTTGAACAAGACATTGTCACAATAAATCTAATACCCAGTAGCCGTGACAACATTGAGTTACACACATCTGCTCATGACAATCTACCTCACCATTATTTCCTCTGCTTTACTGTTTGTTTCTTGTATTTGTGGTTTGGAAGATGATGAAAACTGCTTTAATACAAACTCACGATTATCTGAGAGGTAACAAAAATTTTGCTGGTAATATGTTTTAGAAAAAGTAGTCTCTCGTACTCCAATTTATGTTTCACAAAAATTGAGTAAAAAAAACAAATGGAATTTCATTTTTAACCTTAGTTAAAGTGTATCATTGCTATTTGTAACATATGAACTGTCCCATAAAAAATAAATTGCAAGTGTCTTTTAAACATTTACTCCTGTTAAAAGTGTAATTTCACTGACTGAGATTTAATCAAGTGGAAATTCTTCAATTACATTGTGTTAGTATTATAGAGATTTTATGTACTTTAATCCAAATTTTGTGCTGTCTAGGGGAATGACAATGAGGTAACAAGTAAGCTACAAAATAAACCTGAAGTCTAATTTCTTACATGTGGATGTCAGCTCTGAAAACTGTATGTTTGGAGTTATTATCAAAAAGAAAATGAATGTCTATGACTAGCTGATAATTTAGATGTTTATAAAAAGTCAAATGTTAGGAGAGAGTGAATGCATATGTTATCAATAATTCTGTACAATAATACTTGAAATATATAATATATATAGACATAGAATTGTGAGAGATTGAATGAGTTATATATTTGATTAAAAGTCATGGTATATAGGGAAGGTTTTGCATGAACCCCTACTTTAAGGCTGTACTTGTGCCAATTTGTGTCCTACACATGCCATGACTTGAATGGGTGCAGGGGCTGTTGTACATTATTCAGTTCTGTTTATAAATATAGTATTTTCTGATATTAAAACTTATTTATTAGCAAAACTGGAATATATTTCTAATGTTTTTTATAAATTAACTGTTCAGTAATGTGATTGATTAATTATAAGTGGCATATTTACAAATTATTTATTGAAAATTGGATTTTCATCCTGTAAAGGATAAAATAAATATACAGTAATTAGTATAGTAAAACACAGTACAATAATTAGATTGTGATGGGTAATTGTAATGTTGGTTTTCAGATGATGACAACAGTACAATCACTACTGAGTATGACTCACTAGAGCCAGCCACAATTCTAGAGGAGAATGAGGTCTCCCCCTTCATCATCCCAACCATCTCGGCATCTGTTGCCCAGGACGGTGCATCTTTGCAGGTCCCTCCACCAGGCATTTTAAGCCATTCTGGGAATCATCATCATAGCAGTTATCAGCATTATCACCACCTACACCATCACTATCGACGCCACATGCATTATTCTCACCGTTTTCCTCACCCATCATCGTCATCATCATCATCATACACGCTACTACCCGTCCTTGAGCCACCAGTATTGGTGACGGAGAGCATTGAGCTACATGCCGTTGATAGCTCGGAGCTCTTGCCACCAGAGATTGTCACAACCATCCCAATGGAGGAAACCTCGTCATGATGGCGCAAGAATAGACATCAACACTTCTTGCTCAGGGCATTCTAGAGTCTAGTTTTATTTTTTACTTGTACTCTTATCCCACTTTAACAGTTTGTCCTTAACCTCTTCTTCACAACCTTGTCACTAACCAAGGATTTCTGAATTTCTTAGTTAACACAAACAACACACTATTTATAAATTACTGATGACAACTCTGTCATTTGAATATGGCACATGTGTTAACTAAGTGCTTGAGCTTTAATTTATATTCATAGTCTCTGATGTACAGTATATCCTCACTTTTCCACGGTGGCTTAATATTAAATCATTCCTATGGCTCACTCAGAATTGACAGGATATTGCAAGCAACGTAATTTTGGGTAAGGGCAGCATGTTCTTTGTTTGGCTCAGACTATAAATAAATTACTGAAACTCTTGCCCAATACTGTTATAAAATACTGTACTACTTTTTAGTAGTTTTACACAAACATTATACTCGCTCTTGTTAAGAATTATTCAAATGTATATGTGACGAGATCAGCGATACGGAGCCTAATAGCAGATCTAATGATGGTTCAATTTCTTATAAAAGATATGGTTAAATATAGTTAATGCTAAGTCTGGTTTTAGTCTCAAATCTGCTGCATCTGTCACGCTTGGTGCTGGCACGAGTCTCTGAGAATAATGGTAATGTACCTTTTAATATTTATGTATAATACAAATGTATTGCAAGAAGTGAAATTTTAACTTTCTTAATTATAGACAATTGCAGAATAAATACATCAAAAGTAGCTAAGAAAGAAAATTTTACATTGTTGAAAGTGAGTGCTAAGATTCTCACGCCCTGTAGAAATGTTAAGATTAGTACTTTCTAATTCAGTCAGTATGATGAAGCAGTGTGAAAATTGTAAATGTTTGTTACTACATATTTTAGGTACTGTATTTAAAGTTTTAAGTGAAGAAACAGTTATGAGTAATATCAAAGGTCTGAATTAGTGAATACTGTTGTTGAAAGTCTTACGTATGTATTGATTGCAATTTGTTTTAGCACTGTCTTATATCAATTTTAACTAAACTCTTACCCACCAGTACAATATTCATAATGAACCTAATAATATAGAAGTAATACTGTATAACAGTAAGAATCCTCAAATAATCATCATTGACCATCAATCATTATGTAATCCAGATAAGTCTGTGAAAATGCACTTAAATATTATTTTCTGTGGGAAGCCCTGTCGGCTCTTTGAAATTATCCGAACTGATATTTGCTATAGTAGTTTGGGATCATCAGTCACAGGAGTTCTTATGCCTACCGGGAACCACAAACCAGAACCTGGTCTCGTCAGAGAGGCACGGGGAGCAATGGTGTATGAGCATTTTACATTTAAAGTATGTCATAATTGCCATCGACTGCGGAAGGACCCAGAAAGGTAGGCGAATCAAAACAGACCACTATCTGGTTAACCTGTGCAATCAACATCCAAAAAGATCAAAATAACTCCCCAAAAAAGAAACCCAACAAGCAATCCTTCATGCAACTAGCACTTCTGCTTGTTAGCATTACCCCTTCCCGGTGCCCCCGGGAGCTAATTTTCCTCCCGGCTCGAGAAAAAGGCTAACCTCATCCTCGGGAGCTAACTTCCCCCCCCCCCCCCCTCCTGGCTCCCCCTCTCCCCCGTAGGAGGGGAGGGTGAGTTGGCTGCTCACCACTCCAGTTCTTGAACAGATGTGCTTACTTTGGTTACCTCAGGCCTCAAGTTCTGGATTTTGCCATGTGTGGCCGTATCAGCAGTGTGTTTGGGTGTTGGCCACGTTTCTTCTTGTATGTGGATCAGCATATGCGTAGGGTGAACTTCCCTAGGTGCTCCGTAAGTACTGCCCTTGAGTTTCAGGGTTATCTTACCTGGGGCATTTGGGAATCACTTCCCACTAGGAGACTTCATCACTTGAAGTAATCTTCATCCTTGGGATACTTCAGGGGTCTTGGGCTTTCCATCTTGCCCTGGGTGGGGGAGTGTTATTGGCTGGGTGTGGACGCACTGTAGCTGGGGCAGCCTGCCTTATTACAACTAAGTGACCAATGCTTCTCCCTGGCTGCTAGTTTGCTTGTTGTGTTTCTTCAGGGACTTTTAGTGTCCGTTTGTTGTTTTTATCTTTTGTGGGCACTGGAGGTCTGCCTAGCCTCTTATTAGGCTAGCCTAGGTGGTGTCGGTGGTCCTCCTCTGCTGCCCCCGACGGTTCACGGCTGCTACTGGTAGTCAGTTTGCCTGCTATTAGACAGGGATTCTACCGGCTTAGCTGGCACCAGCGCCTGGGCTTCTTGTAAGGCTCATTTACCCTACTGGCCCTGGAAACCCTCTGTGGGCTCCGTGGTACCATGGATACTTTTTCCGAGTCCATTCTTACCTTGTGCAAATACTTATGACATATTATGACATACTTTAAATATAAAGTGCTCATAGCCCATTACTCCCAGCAACTCTCTGAGGGGACCAGGTTCTGGCGCATAGTTCTTGATAGGCAAAAGGACTCCTGTCACTGATGACCCCAAACTAATATAGCACATATCAATTTGAATAGCTTCAGGAAGCCTCCGGGGCTCACCAAGAAAATGGCGTTTCATTACATTCAACTCTGGGTTTTTTTTATGATGTTCAGTTTCATGGGTTATTACTTTCTAATGCATTGACAAAAATGTGTCCCCTGGATTGCTGATAATGAGCATAAAATATTTATATGGTAAAGTCACTCAAAAATATATATATTGTTGTTTAACGAATATTTTCGACTTTATAACATGGTTAAACGCAATGAAAAAGAATGAGATTGTATAAGTTTAATTGACACTGGGAAGTGTAAACTTAGTCACCATTCCAACTAGTTCTATGCTGTTCCAAAAATAAATATAGCTTACTAGTTAATAAATAAATTAATCATATTCAAGGAAATATACAGTACCAGATAAATTTGTGTGTTTGTGCGTGTGTATTCTCACCTACTTGTACTTGTGGGGGTTGAGCTTTGGTTCTTTGGTCCCTTCTGTGTGTGTGTGTAATTACCTAAGTGTAGTTACAGGATGAGAGCTACATTCTTGCTGTCCCGTCTTCCCAGCACTCTTTGTCATATAACGCTTTGAATTTACTGAGGGTTTTGGCCTCCACCACCTTCTCACCTAACTTGTTCCAACCGTCTACCACTCTGTTTGAGAAAGTGAATTTGCTTATATTTCTTCAGCAGCTTTGTTTAGTTAGTTTAAATCTATGACGTCTTGTTTTTGAAGTACCAAGTCTCAGGAATTTTTCCCTGTCAATTTTATTAATTCCCGTTATTATTTTGTACATAGTAACCATATTGCCTCTTTTTCTTCTATCTTCTAGTTTAGGCATATTTAGTACCTTAAACCTCTACTTGTAGCTCTTGTCTTTTAATTCTGGAAGCCATTTAGTTTCATGTCTTTGCATCTTTTCCAGTTTGTTGATGTGCTTCCTAAGATATGGGCACCATATAATCGCTTTATATTCCAAATTAGGTCTCAAAAAGGTCATTCACAACTTGTTAATATTGTGTATACATGTTATTACTGTACTGTGCTCATTTGTTACAACAGCACCTGAAGCATTTGTAACTACAAGAATAGTGCTGGTGTTCATAGTTTGTGTACATGTGAGTGTGTGTGGGAGATGGGGGGTGTATTTACTACTGTTAAACTACAGTACTCTAGAAGTTTGCTAATCCGGACTATATGGAAAGGACCCTCATCTGGATCAAAGGTCGTTTTACAGGAGAAGTCCAGAAGTGAACATTTCCAAAAAGTTTTGTACCACAACCAACATCATTAGAATTTCCACACACTCTAATTAGTGTGTGGGGCTGGGTGGGTGGTTAGCTGCCTGGCTGGTAGGTGAGCAGGGCAAGTGGGCAGGCAGACAGGTGGATGGGTAGATGGCAGGCAGATGAACTTGGTAGTTGGCAGGTGAGTGGGCAGGCAGGTGGGTGAACAGGTTGGGGTTGTGCTGTAAGATGACAACATAATATGCGCATTAAGCGTATGGGATGCTCTCGGTTGCAGATTCAAATCCTCGTCACGGCCCTTGTGGATTTGTTCATGCGCATTAAGTTCTGTTAAAACACATTTTATTTTCTTGTAAATATTTAAAGGAATAATTAACCATCCAAATGCTCTTCAATTATTATGGTGTGTTATTTAATATTCATAACTAGCTCTCCACAGCAAAAAGAAAAAATATATAATTCAAGAAGTCCTGCACCACCACCGACCCTTCAACCGTTTTGAGAACCTTCCCTTCCCTGCCGCTGCCCTCCCCCTTGCTAGGGTTAACAAGAGACTCACATAAGGTACACACTTCTCCTCCGCCAACTCCCACATGACATTCAAAGACGTACCATACCCACACTTGACACCCACTACACCCACACCCGACCCCTGCACCCACCATTCCTACACCCAACTCCTGACATCCTCCACACCTACACCCACCACACCCACTCCAGACACTCACCATACCCACTCCTGACACCCACCACACGCACACCCACCACACGCACACCCACCACACTTATGCACACCGCTACTGACACCCACCACACCTACTCCCACCACACTTATGCCCACCATACCCACACCCATCACACCTACACCCACAACACCCACTCCTTATATCCACACCCACTCCAACCTCCTTTCTTACATGAAGCCTCCCAGCTTTCCTGCCTATACACTCACCCTCCCTGCCTGACTCCATTCGTGGCGATGGTGTACAAGAGTGTTTGGCCGGGAATTTCACTCGATTATCTCTCGGTATTAAAGGTTCACATTTTTTATTCAGCGGCAAGTCGATCATTTTTTTGGAGAGAATTTTAGGCTCCAAATATTGACTTATATGCCAGCAGATATGGTAAACTCTCTGCCTGTCTATTTGTGTCCGGAAAAATATCTGGTCATTCAGATTCTATGCACATTCCATCCAGATAGGGATATAACATTATCCTGAGGCGATTTTGGCTGGATTAGGGCATTTTTCCGGATTGGCGGGCTTCAGGTTAGCGAACTTCTACAGTCTTTACCAGTATCAAGACGCTGAAGGCAAAAGCAAATGCTGTATTTACTAACAAAGTTCATACTGATATCAAAATATACTTTTGCAACGTAATTTCAGTTAGTTTGAGTAAGTAGGGTGGAAGAATTTACTTGTAGTATGAAGTGCAGATAGAATAAATCAGGTGAACATATGTATTGAATTTGATAGATAGTAAGAAACTGTTCTCAGGGGTAAATTGAATGAGGTTTGTATAATCTCCAGTAACAGAAAGAATATACAGTACAGTACTATAAATGTGCCTCAATACTAATACTTAGGAAAGAAACACATCAAGATGTTTACATAATCAGGCATGTATTTGTTATTTATTTTTAAATATTCTGCACAAAATGCCCAATTTTGGGCTGGCTCTTTCAGTAGTTCTCTACATCTTAAACACTTTACCACTTTGATGACATTAAAATGTATTGTTCGTACTTCAGTAGTAAATGTTTGAATAACACTAAAATGCATCATCCCTCTTGGAATTCCAAATGTATATAATTTTTTTAGCACACTGTGGCCAGAGCTTATCGGGGGACCAAACAAAATGTCAAAATAAAAAGTAAAATGGAAATAATAAATAAACATTAGATTTAGATAAAAGTACATAATTACATATTGAGTTACAAGCAGAACATTTGATTTATAGATAGAGCTAGTATATACGTAAAGTATATACCTAAAGGCACTAATACGCACAGCCCTTCGGGCAAATCAGGTGACCAGCCAGAGATCACCTCGCCCAACAACCTTCCTCAACAAGATAATTGCTTTCCTTTTGAGTATTTTCACCATGGTTTGCTAATTTCTTCCTTGAAAAGTGTAAAAGTTATGTTTGTTTTCATTTTTACAGTAACATAGACTGATGTGTGCAGATATAACAAACAAATTTTTATTGAAAAATAAATGAATGTTGAGATGTCCATAATCATTCACATATTCAGTATCATCATGTATGATGTATTAATATACATTTTGTTGTAAATCTCTACTAAACATAAAAAAGTATATAAACGTTTTAGGCATTTTGAGATGGCCAGAATGTTTACTGATGGGCAAGAGCTGACAGGTCAAAAGGTTAAAGTGTTAAACTCTGTCATACCAGTCACATGAGACTTGTGTAGCCTAACATAAACCTGGACCAGAATCTGGTTGGGTCATAGAGGCAAAAGGAACATAGGTATTAGAGGTAGACCTAAGAGCCAAGGAAACTGGTCGAAAGTCACTGGTGAAACAAAACAAGCTACTACCTGAATTTACCCGAGAGCCAGTAACACTAGTGGGGTCGCCGAGGACAGGAAGTCGGTGGCTTATCGAAGGTTCCCCCATTTGCCTTGATGATCTTTTCCAGCTCATCAACTACTATTAAGCAATGGAGAAAAGTTCTCTCCCCCCCCTCCCCCCCAGCATCCACCTGATGGCAGGCAACTTAAGTCACTCACTATCCTGACCCCGCCATCTCCCTCACTTATATGCTTGATACCAACTGATTAGTTGCCTTCCCTGCTAAAAAAAAATTCTGCTATCTACAGCTAAGTAATGATGTGTTTTGGGACATTTGGGACATTTAACATCCCATGTGAGGCCATATTTTGCTTATTGCTTCTTATTTATGCTTCGTGATTGTGCTTAGGCCAGCCACGTCATATGTTCGTATTGATAATTTTGACTTAATATGGCTCAAGTTTTTAGTTTAGTTTTTTATTGTGCACCCATACCCAGAAATAAAACACTAAATGTAATGAAATTCCCTTTTCTAAGTGGTCCCTCAATAATTCCCTGTTGCCAGCCTGTTGTTCCCTTCTTTCCTTTGGGGTTGGAAGGGCACTTTGGCTGGTATATGAGTGAGGGTGGTGATGTGCTATGATCAAGGATGACCTGAGTGGCCATCTTGTGACAATCTGGCAAGTTGGCACAAGTGATATTAACCTGTTGCCAACAATTGTTTGCTTTGTCTTTGAATTGCCATTATTATGATCAGTAGTTTTGTTTTCATTGTGACTTTCTGGGTGGTTTATTCGCTTTTAGGTAAAAACCTTATTCCCATGTTCTTTAAGTTCTTTGAGCAAAACAGATTCCAAGTTTTGGTGTTCGACGAGTCGTTCAGTGATCTGGTATAATTAGGAGGCACGACGGTAACCAGAAAGTTAAACACTAGGGAGTGACTGAGGAACAGCCCATACAAGAGTTGCAGTACAATCATTGGTCTATCGGTCAGTCAAGTTGAATTTACCATCATGTAATTTCCTATATAAATAACAAACTCTAAATTCCTAGCTGGACTTTTATATGAAAACATCTCTGTCCTTCAGGGTAATGAAACCCAGAATCTTTCAGTTGTGAAATGATTGCACTTAATTCAGTGCTACAAGCTCTATATCATTGCACATGAATTAAAAAAAAAATAATCACATGGGCACTAGCAATATTTTGTGATATATAATTGCAAGACATGAATTTTATCCCAATATTTGTTAATACCTGCTAGAAAAGCTTCTAAGCTTATTTAAGTAGAATTTATTGGGACAATGGAAAAATAAATAGCTAATCAAACACTGAACAGGAAGATAAACCTATGCAATCTCATCCAGTTCGTGATCACACCAACTCAAAATCTTTGAGGATGATTCCAAAAGGATTGCAGAAAAAAATAAGTTATTAATAAGACAGGTCTCAAAGGGACTATCCCCTCTCATCCTCTTATTACACCATAAAAATCTTACATCAAGAAAATATTTGTATTTCAGTTTTATTCTATATGTAAATTTATAAAAGTCTGATAAATATTTTATAACCAATACAGCATTAATGTTTGACCCTACAGATAGAGGAATACTGTAATGAAGAGAATTACAGCTATTTGATAAATGTTAGAAGAAAACTGCTGTTGTAATATTTTTATTAAATATTTAATGAAGTAAATATTCACCATATAATTGGTTACCCTCAGAAGTAGAGTCCTACAGCCAGGTAAGG